AAAAAAAAATTGAAACAGTACTTGTGAAGCATCCCATATTTAAAAAAGGAAGTATGTGGCATCAGGATTAGAGGAAGACTCATTAACAGTCTGCTTTATGTGGATGACACAACCGTGCTTGCTGAAAGTGAGGAGGACCTGAAGCTGTTGTTGCAAAAGATCAAAGACTATAGCCTTCAATATGGATTACATCTCCACATCAAAACAAAGGTAAATACCACTGGGCCAATGGACAACATCATAATGGTTGGAGAAAGGACTGAAACTCTCAATGATTTTGTCTTACTTGACTCCACAATCAACATGCTTGATGCCGGTGATCAGGAGGGAAGGAGACATATTGCTTTGGGCAAGTCTGCTGTCAAGAGCCTCTCCAAAATACTGAAGAGCAATGATGTCAGTTTGAATACTAAAGTTGCACCTGATTAAGGCCTTGGTCTTTTTCATTACTTGCTATGCATCTGAGAGCTGGACAGTTAATAAGGATGACAGAGAAATTGATGTGTTTGGGTTGTGATGTTGGAGAATAGTACTGAGTAGCCCATGGATTGCCATAAGAACAAGTATGTATTGGAAAAGGTACAGCTGAAGTGTACCTTTCTCATACTTTGGACATGTTGCTAGGAGAGGCTGTCCTTGGAAAGGGATATTATTCTTGGAAAGGTGGAGTTTCAGTAAAAGAAGAAGACCCCTAATGAGAAGGATTGACACGGCTTCTGCAACATGTCATGTGTATCAGAGATGGTGAGGATGACACAAGATAGGACAGGATTCAGATCTGTTGTTCCTAGGGTTGCGATGATTCATATTCTACTTGATGGCACCTAACAACAACAATGATTGTTGAAACAGAAACTAATGTCCTTTTTAGGCTTTCACCCAAACTACAGTAAAATTGAAAAATAATTTAAGAAAAGGCCCCACGTAAAAAGAATCTTGTGTTCAACAGATGCTAGATTTGATGCTTTGAGTGATTTAATGCTTACACTGTTAAAGAAAAGTATTATTGAAATGCTTGTGGAAATAATATATATCTGAGAATTTAGAACTGCCAGTCCAGAAGCTGTCAACTCTAGCTTCAGGTACTTTAAAGATCACCTGGGTTCGTGAAAAAAAGCATGAATGCCTGGACCCTGTGAACTCTTAGTTAAATCTATGGGAGAAAAGCGAGACCATCAGTATTTTTAAAATGCTCCACAGAGAATTCTAATATAGCCAGCTGAGACTCACTCATGTACACCCCGACTATGAGTCTCTTTTCTCATTGCCTCTGTTATTCTTGCAATACAGTAATTATTAAATTAGGATTTCTTTGGACTAGATCCATTGCACTGAGTAGAATAGCTTGTTGAATGCATAAATAGCTGCAGTTTGAAGGCTGGTTTTACAAGCTTGATGAGGTTGTCCTTTAACAAGAGTCATCTGAAAGACAACTTTCCAAGGCTAAATTCTTCCTTACTTCAATTACCCATCCTGCCTAAATATTTTAAAATCTGAGACACCTTGATAAACCCAGGGCCTCAACTGTCCAGATTCACCCTTTCCTTAGGTATCCAAAGAAGAGAACTGTGTCCTCTCTCTGCCTCTGACTGCACAGAAATACCTTCCCACTTGATATTGCTGGGAACTTGGGGGTTTTTTCCATCTGCTCATGTTCCCAAGTCCTTCCAGATTGTCCTCACCCCCTGGGCATTCCATTTTCTCCTGCCTCACTGCTTCCATTCTCTGGAGGTGACTGTGGGACAAACATGAAGGAAGACCATATGATCCCTGGTCCCTAAGAGGGACACACACCCTAGGAAGTGACTCTGAGGCTTGAGTTAGTGGAGGGCTATTACAGCATAAGACAGAAAGCAGCTACACTTACACTGCTATTTCATTCTAGGTTCTCTCTTAGTGGTCACCTACCTCCAGGGTAGTTTGAGGAGACCAGGTTATGGGGTCGGCTTTCTCTCGTCCAAACCTCCTTTCTTATTCTTTCCTTAATTTGTCACTCTGCCTCCCAATACCTCTTAGCTCCCCATCCCAGACTTCATCTTTCATAACTAAGAGGCACATTGTGCCGTCCCCTAAGCTTGCACAGACCACTCTGAGAAGCAGCAGAGCTTTGACATTAGAGTTGCATTGAAAACATTCTCTGGTTGGTTCTTGAGCAAGCTCAAGTCCTAGATGGGCTTTCCTGCCCCTGTTGAGGAGCCCCTCTAGGAGAGAGGAGCCAGAGTTGGATAGACCAGCAGCCTCAATTGCTCCCCTCTCCACTGTTTTCCCAAAGTTCATAACTGTAAATTAGAATGTTCATTTATACTGAGCTGGTGTCATTGCCAAGATGACACAGGGCCCCTGGGAGAGGAGCCTGGCAATAGGGTGATGCTGTTGTGTTGGCTGAACCTGAGCTGATGCTGCCCTTGTGCTACCCTGTCATCCCGACAAAGAAGTCAGGCTCAGAGAGATCAGGTGATGTGTTCAGGATCACTCCCAAGGCGCTGGCCAGGATACTAGCTCCCATGACCACCACCTCTTCAAGGAGAGGGCACCCAACTGAGGGTGAACAAACCAGTGACTGCCAGGTTGGCCCCAGGAAGCCACAGAAGACAAGCTCCAGAGCTGGAATGAGAACAGGTGAGGGCTCAGACCTGGAACAAAACAAAGCCCTTTCTGCTGTCTAGTGGATCTGGACTCCTGGCAGCTCTGTAGGACTGAGTAGAGCTGCCTCACAGGGTTTTGAGACTATGAATGTGTATAGCCTCAGCAGGCTCCCTCAGCTTTCGCCCCAGAGGAGCTGGTGAGTTAGAACTACTGACCTTTCAGACAGACAACCAGCTGCACCGCCAGGACTCCTTTATCTAGAGTAAAGACAGTGTTTGACAGCAAAGAACTAGCTGGGTGTTTCAGTTCCACTAGAGGTGAGGGCCCAGGGGGCGGGAGTGGCTTCCCTGGGCTCCATCATTCCATCCTTGGCTCTTCTCCTCCAAAAAAAGCCGGGCTTCAGGGGCTGTGCCAGGGAGCAGGCAGAGCATGGAAGAGGGAGCCTGATTCCTATGAAGACAGTTTGGCAGCGGCCCCCTGGAGGCCCCTGGCTGCTGATGTGACACATCAAAGCCACCATCCAGACAGTGCAGTAGCGGGGAGCAGTGGGGAGCACTCAGGAGGGGCTGTGCTCAAAGTCACCAGCTTGTTCCCTGCCGAGTGAGGTGCGGGAGGGCGCTGCTGCTTGCTTGCCTCTGTCACCTTCTACCCCCCAGTGTTCAGTGACTGGCTTGCATCCTCCTTTGTTGTTGGTACCTGTTTGAATGCTGCCTCCTGATTGGCTATTGTCAAGGAAGGGAAATGAATGAATCTGAGAAAATGGCCTCAGGAGGAAACCAACCCTAGCTGGGGCTGACTGGAAGGGACAAAGGGAGAGAGGTTTTGGGAAGGAGCTGGGTTGCTTCCATATCCACCCATTTCCTTCATCGTCTAGGGGAAGTTTCCTGACAACTGGTGTTTGGGTTTACTTGTTAAAGTAGGTGTTCTACAAGTGTAGTCCCAAGATCAGCAGCATGACATCACCTAGGGACTTTCTAGAAATGCATATTAGTCCTACCCTAGATCTGAACTAGAAACTGAACTAGAAACCTTGGGGGTAGACCCAGTTCTCTGTGTTTTGACAGACCTGAAAGCCTTACACTCTTGAGAGTTTGAGAACCATTGAGATAAGCAAGAAGGGTGATACAGTAAGGGCACGAGTATTTCAGGAATTGTTGGAACCAGGGAATGGGCACCAGCTAGATTCCCTCCTGTCTGTCGGGTCTTCTGTTTTCTTTGCGTGTCTGCTCCATTAGTCCTTAATTCTCTGTTGCCCTCCTTGCTTTGGTCTTTTGCTGCCAGAAACCATGCAAACTCATGCCTTTTGAGTGGACACGTTATAAGTCCTGTTCACTTCCCTTTTGTGTGCTGTCACATTCCCTAATAAGAAGAGAAACGCAGGCTTAGTTGTTACCTTTTATTCTTTGGTGAGCAGTGTCAGATACGGCAAAACCTGTGAAAGCTTGTTCAGTATAGATTGAAACCCATGTAATATTTTCCCCTATAGATTAGTAAGTAAGCTGTGCTAACCTTGCATATTGGACAACACACCCTTGTTTGTCTCTCTCTTTACAATTCCACGTTTATAGAAAGGTAATTCTGGTGCTGAGAAACGTGGCTTCTCTCTCTCTCCTTTGGCCTGGTTTCCATGAACTGTACTCCTTCAGTGAGCAGGAAGGTGATTACTGCTGCTCCATCTCTTAGGTTCATCAGCATGAGATCTGAGTTCAGCCTACCAGCATGAGTTCATGGAAGGTGACACTGGGAAGACCTCCTCAAAATTGGCTCTCATGGGCCTGTGGGAACCTGCCACCCACACCACTGTCTGGGAGAACAGACATGAGTCCCTTTTCTAAAGGACCTTTTTACTGGGGAGATGGACAGGTCATTGTAATGCCATGTAGGTAGTACAGGAAGGGGATTTGGCGTGGTGGATTATGGGAGTAAAAGAAGCAGCATTCAGTCCATCCTAGAAGGACCAGCAAGGGTTCCTACAGGCAGAATGCGAGCAGTAAGGGGTGCTTGGGGCTGAGGCTCAGTGGGAAATTTGGAGCTTGCTGGAGAAGGTAGGGATATTTAATTCATATTTCTATTTCATTCTAGACAGAGTTCAGAAGATAATAAAGAACATGAAAAAGAAAAAAAGCTTTGAGGGTGTGAGCATGTGTGTTGAAGGCAGGCCATCAAAGGTGGCTGGTAAAGCTCAAAGCTCAAAGAAGTGGGTCTCGAGTCAGGATGGAGGTGGGCAGGTGGTAGTCCAGGACTTTCTAGAGACCACAGAGGTTTAATGGGCCTGGAGAACTTTCTATTAAGACAACAAAGTCCTCTATGGAGGACTGTGTCTCTGTTGAACTCACATGCAGGTCAATTTGGACGTAGCTCTGCATCCCAAGATGCAAGTTCCAATCCTCATTTTGTGTATGTTGTGCTTTTAGACAGTTCCCGACACGGTGCTGGTTAAACTGATTCAGGAGCGCCTGAATGATGAAGACTGCATCAAGCGGGTAAGAACCCCTGCATGGAAACAGCTCTGGGGATCCCAGAGAGATGAAGAGTCCCTTCACAGGACACGAGGTAGGGTGACAGTATGTGTGCTGTCTCCTAGAACAGAAATGAGGTATGCAAGCAAAGCTTTCTTATTAAAGAAGGGTAAAAACAGGCAGAAGGAAGTTGGTGAAGAGCAACCTGTGAACCCTAGATGTCACTGTTTATGGAAGAAAAATAGCCATGTGGACCTATCCTATATCTCTACATTCTGGCAGAAAGGATCTGGCCCACCACAGAGTCGTAGGAACGACTTTAAAGGATGGGCAATTACACTTGTGTGGGGAGAGGTAAGGTGCCCAGGGACTAGCAGCAGCAGGCTGCTGTCTCACTCCGGGTCCTGAGAAGGCAAGGGAGGCAGTGGACTAGAGCTGAAGAGACCCCAGGGACCAAGCTGCCCTAGGCAAGTGGACAGGCAAAGAAAGAATTAGGGGTATTGTAAACTTTCCATTCCCATACTTTGATCTCCTGTTAGTGCTCCCTTTGGCCAGATCCAATGAAGTAAAAAAGCTGAGTATCCAGCTGTCCATGGAGTACAGATTCTGAGGGGCTGGAGGGCAGTGGAAGGGGGTGATGCAGGACTCTGAAGGGGCAGATGGAAGATAGCAAGCACAGTCACTGTCCGCCGAGCACCCTAAGAGGCTTTTATGTGCACTGACTCGCTTGATCCTTGTGAGAACTGAATTCAGTTGGCACTACTTCCCCATTTTATTAATTAGGAAATCGAGGATCGGATATGTGATTTATAAGTATTTTCACCCAGTCTGTAGCTTTTTTCTTTGATTCTTAATAGTGTCTTTAACAGAGCAAAAGTTTTAATTTTAATGAAGTTCAAATTATCTTTTTTTCTCCTTTTAGTTCTTGCTTTTAGTATAAAGCCTAAGATTTTTTGTTGTTGCTTAATTACAGATCATGAAAGGGCGTGGTGGTTTTTTTTTTTTTTTGGTCTTATTCCAAAAGTTTTCTGTTTTACATTAAATCTGAGTTCATTTTCACATAATATGTCAGATTTAGGTTAAGATAAGGTGTTAGATTTAGGTTGAGGTATGTTGACTTGCATTTTCTCTATCAGTTGATGTGCTTGGTTTTTATTTTTCAGACTGTTTTGACTGTTAATAGAGCAGTAGTTGATTTTCAGATACTGTATCAGCCTTGAATTCCGAGGATAAATCCTGTTTGGCTGTAGTGTTACTCTTTTTGTATATTGATGGATTTTATTTGCTTAAATCCTCAAAATCCAGTCCTCTGACTTTGAGCACCTTTACATGTATGCTCATGAGGAACTTAAGTATTGAGTTTTCTTTTCTTGTACTTTCTCAATTTGATTTGGAGACAGAGTTAATACTGGCCCATAAAATGAGTTTGTAAGTGTTCCTCCTTTTTTTTTTATTTTCTAGAAAAGATCATGTAGAATTGGTAAACTTTATCAGTATTCTAGATGTCTTTCTTGAGAGTTTTAAAATGACAAATTCAAATTTTAAAATAATTCTAGGATTACTTAGATCATCAATTCCTTTTTGGATAAGATTGATGGCTTGTAACTGAGCTATTGTGTTGGTTATTCAGAGTGGTTTTTTTAGATTGTCTTTATCACATGACTGGGTAAGATTATCTAAATGGGAGCTGTTAGTGGTCCACCAGGGAACTGGGTAGCTTGCTAGTAATGCAAATAAGACAAATAGAAGTTTTGGGGTAAGAAAATGCAAACAAGGTGTGTAGACTGCTAATGAGGGAATTGGTCAGTTTTGCCTTCTTACCAGGCTTCAAATGAGCAAGCTCAGGGGAAAAAAATAGAAATCTTATTACCATCAAGAAAGAAAAAGCAAACAGGATATCTATCACTGATTGACTTAGGTGGGGGGGAGCTAAGGAAAGGTTTATACACAGAAACAATGTTGAGGAATGACAGGAGGGATGGGAGAAGAGGGAGGGAGGAGCAGAGAATAGCGAATAGATGGGTAGGATGAAGGGAAAGGCAAGATACAGTCAAGATTTCATGAGACATTATAATAAAAGGCATTGACTAATTATAATTAATGTTATTAAACAAGATGTACATGAATGGTTGAAGGAAAAGAAACTTTAAAAAAGAAAAGAAAATGATATCTATAACAGTTTAAAAGGGAAAGGGGAGAAGGGAATACAAGATGGAAGAGGAAATCAGTAGGGCAGCAGAGATTAGTGGGAGGATGGGGTGAAGAAATAGGTAAGGTGCAATGGGGACTTGAGACAGGGAAATAAACACAGATCAATGTTGTTAATTATACAAAACAGAATGTATATAAATGATTATCTAAAAATGTACGTGAATTAGACAATGTATAGGAATAATTGTATAAAAGTGAATGATGATATGTTGTTGTTATGTGCCATTGAGTCACTTGCGACTCATAGCGACCCTATGTACAACAGCCCTAAACCCTGCTCTGTCCTGTGCCAATCACACTGTCTCTGACACGCCCATCCCATTATCCCAGTCACTGAATCAATCCACCTCATAGAGGGCCTTCCTCTCCTGTCCCGTCCCTCCACCCTCCCAAGCATGATGTCCCTCTCCAAGGACTGGTCTCTCCTCACAACATGTCCAAAGTATGTTAGACGGAGCCTCAGAATCCTAGCCTCCAAGGAGCCACCCGGTTTAACCCTTTCCAGGACGAATCTGTTTGTTTTCCTAGCAGTCCATGGTATTCTCAATACTCTTCTCCAGCACCACAGCTCAATGGCATCAATTCTCCTTCTATCCTCCTTGGTCATTGTACAACTCTCTGATGCATAACAGGTGATTGTGAAGACCATGGCCTGTATCAGACGCACCTTAGTCTCCAGAGAGACACCATTGCTCTTCAGTACTTTGGAAAGGTCCCTAACAGCAGACTTTCCCATTGCAATGCGCCTTTTAATTTCCTGGCTACTGGTGCCAAGATTGTTGACTGTGGAGCCAAGCAAACTAAAGCTGTGTACAGTCTCAATCTCTTCACCATCTATCCTGATGCTGCCAATTGGTCCAGTGGTGAGAATCTTTGTCTTCTTGACATTATGCCTCAATCCAAATTGGAGGCTGCAGTCCTTGACCCTCTGTAGCAGGTGCTTCAGGTCCTCTTCAGTTTCAGCAAGCAGGGTTGTGTCATCTGCATAACGCAGATTGTTGATAAATAGTCCACCAATCTTGACCCCACATTTCTCCTCATAGAGCTCAGCCTCCCGGATAATCGAAAGGAATTGGCAGACACAGAAGAATTTCATGAAACAACATATGAGCAAGAGCCTATGGTGATGAAAGAAGAAGTTCAGGCTGCTTTGAAGGAAATGGCAAAAAATAAGGCTCTAGGAATAGATGGTATACCAATTGACATATTTCAGCTAACAGATGCTGCTCTGGATGTGCTCAGCAAGTTGTGCCAAGAAATCTGGAGAACAGCCACTTGGCCAACTGACTGAAAGAGATCTATATTTGTTCCTATCCCAAAGAAAGGTGACCCAAAAGAGTGTGGAAACTATAGAACAATCTCACTGATTTCACATGGAAGCAAGATTTTACTGAAGATTATCCAAAAACGACTGGAACAGCACATCAGCAGAGAACTGCCGTAAGTCCAGGCTGGGTTTGGAAGGGGTCGTGGTACTAGAGATATTGTAGCTGATGTTAGATGGATCTTAGCTGAAAGCAGGGAATACCAGAGGAATGTCTATCTGTGTTTCATTGACTATGCAAAGGCATTTGACTGTGTGGATCATAACAAACTGTGGCTGACTCTGAGAAGAATGGGAATCCCAGAACACTTGATCGTGCTGATGCGAAACCTATACTTGGACCAGGAGGCAGTCGTCAGAACAGAGCAAGGGCACACTGCATGGTTCAAAATTGGGAAGGGCGTACGGTAGGGATACATCCTATCTCCGTACCTTTTCAACCTATGTGCAGAATGATGATATAAACAAGCAAAAAGGAGAGAGGACAGTGTGTCTCTTGGGCTGGAGATACGTGTGCTAAATAGAGATCAATCTCGCCTACTAGTACTAGTCAGCAGCAGATGTGGTGGAGAACCAGAGAGTAATATGAGACAGAGCTGAGCTCAAACTCCCACTGTCCAGAGCCAGAGCCAAGGCTTTCACAGCAGCTTATTGGTGGAGTGGGAGCAACGAGTGTGCTGGGATTGGCCAAACTTAAAAAAAAAAAAAAAAGCAGCTTTGTAATTGACCCAGAACTGCAAGACAGGGCCCAGTGAGGCTGGGTCCTATTTTATTTTCTTTATAAATTTAAAGGGATGCCTGCATTCATATATGTCTGAGAATTGGTCCTAACTGCAGAATTGTATCCTGAGTGTTTCTGACCTAAATTGTAACTGATTACTTCCTTAACAAGCCCCGTAATTGTGAGTACTCTCTAAGGGTCCTCTGTGGCCCTTGTAGTGGATCACATAACGTTATTAGTAGAGCACTGAGGTCCATGCCAGAGATAGCTGGTGTTCAAATTAGATGCGGGCCATGGGAGGATTTCTGACCTTATGGAAATAGCTTTTGTGCTCTTGATGCTATGGATGGAGGCTCTTCTCCTTGTGGAATTAGTAGAGATTAGATACCACTACTCTCACACAGGTTTTTCTTTTGTTTGGGTTTATTAGGGAGGTTAACTGGCTATAATTTAGGTTGGCAGCAGGATAGACGTTCTCAGTCTAGACAGCTTCTCAAGCAAGGTAGCAGGCCTTTGACTTTACAGCTTGGGTCAGTGTCACAAAGTTCCCCTAGTCCTGTCAGTATATAGTGACCTCTCTCAGTCCTCCAACAAGCGTGTTGCGGACCTTACGCTCTTGGCTCAGCAGTCTCAAGTCAGTCAATTCTGTTTCCAGTTGGTCTGCTAAGGCTGCTGCTGCTCCTTTGTAGTTCCTGGTCTGGCTTGGGCAGGAATCTCTGGCCCCGAAGGATGTGTGCTGCTTCCTCTTCCTCGTTGGGGTTGAGATTC